GGGAAGGACAAGACTGGAGGAGGAGTAGGAGGAGGAGAAACGGAGTATGGCTATTATAATGAAGAGGGGGGAGGAGAGGGCACAGCGGTAAAGATGTTAAACGTGCTATGCCGTCTCGCGCGCAGTGGCGTAGCGTTCCTTGTTCCCGCCGCAACCCAGTCGCCGACTCCATGTCCGCTCACTGGCATGAGTTTGCCATCGTGCTCGTCGCCGACGCGGGCGACGTCGGTGCGCCGATTTCGATCCTCGCGCCTTCGCTGCTCCACAGTTCGGCCGCTCGATCCACTCGCCCCCCACTTTGCCTTCCGCGGCGGAGCAGCGGCGCTGCCTTTCCGCGGGTGCGGCAGTTTCCCGACCCATTGCCTCGGAACCATGCTTCCCCCCGAGCGGCGGTGTCGGGGCGCGCGCATCCTCGCGCCTTCTCCTTCTCCTCATCCTCATCCCCCTCCTCCTCCTCCTTCTCCTCCTCCTCCTCCTCCTCCTCCTCCTCTCCTCCTCCTCCTCCTCCTCCCCCCCCCCCCCCCACCCCCCTCCTTTCTCCCCCCCTTACCCCCCCTTTTTCCGCGCCGACCTCTAGGACAAAGCAATAGGCGATGGTGCTATGGGCTAAGGGGTTACGGGCTAAGGCATATCGCGAAAAACGCTGCAGTGCGATACTCGGGCAAATTTTTGAAATTTGCCTGAGCATCGCCCCTCAGTGTTTTTCGCCCTCACCCTTTTGCAGGCCTCAGGGACGCCTGCACCAGGACTGCGCCGACCTATGGGCAATGAGGCAATAGTCTACAAGGCGATGGTGCTATAAGGCTAAGGGGTTACAGGGCCAAAGGCATATCGCGAAAACGCTGCAGGGCGATACTCGGGCAAATGTTTGAAATTTGCCTGAGCATCGCCCCTCAGCGTTTTTCGCCCTCAGCCTTTTCCAGCCCTGAGGGACGCTGGCACCAGGACTGCGCCGACCTCTAGGACAATAAGGCAATAGTCTACAAGGCGATGGTGCTATAAGGCTAAGGGGTTACAGGGCTAAAGGCATATCGCGAAAACGCTGCAGGGCGATACAGGGCATTCCGCGCCCTCTTCCTTCTTTTCCGCTAATACAGACCCTGGCGATTATGATGAAGAGGCGGCAGAGGCTACATTTGCGGATATGCTAAACATGCTATGCCGTCTCGCTGTCGACCCTTGCATCGGACCCCCCCGCCGCCCGCCCCTCATGCCCCATCGTTCTCGACGTAGCGCTTGGAGGCATCGCCCCTGCGCAATCGACCCCCTTCCTCGCCCGATGCGACCGCAGCCATTTGTCGCGAGCGGCTCGCCGCCATTTTTGATACCAAGCATCAGGCCGTCGACCAGTTGCCATGCACGGGGCCGTTGCGGCTGTGCAGGAGATGCTCGACTTCGCGCGTGCGTCTGCCGCCGCGGGCGCGCCCGGCTTGGAGTCCGCGGCGCGCGATATCAATGCGGTCGCGCGCGATGCTGCGCCTTTCGCAATGGCTGAGGGCACGGCCATCCTCAATATGGTGTCCTCGAGCCCCTTGGGCGCAGCAGAGCAGCGCGAGATATTGAAGACAGTCAGGGCGAAGGCGACGATCATCGGCTCCAAAGGCAGTCCACGCCCGGCACATCCAGCGCCAGCAGCGCCCGCGCCACAGGAGCCACCAGCCAGCCAGTGCACAACGCCCGTCCGACCATCCAGCCAAGCAGCCGTGCCCGATGCAGCAGGTGCCGAGTCGCTTGGCAGCGACTCTAATTCGCCTCCAGAGCGCGCGGGCCCCCGTCAGCCGCCGCACGTTCCCCACAAAAACCAGTCGTGCCTGTATTTTCATCGATTCATGACGGCTCAGATGTGGGAGACCTTTCGCAACCCCGCCATGGGGTGGCCAGAGGCGCTTCGCGAGCTCGTGCAGCGCATGGACGAGCTGGGGCTTGTTAGCCCAGACGAGCCGACAAAACGACGCTTGTGGTGCGTATGCCAAGTGGCTCGCCATCCGCCTGGCGTGAAGTTCGCGGCGGACCCGTCCGAGGCGCTGCGCAAGAAGCAAGACATCACTGGCGAGATTGCCGCGCTGAAGGCTCGCAACAAGCAGTTCTCGCTGGCCCATTGCGGCGCCATCAAAACCTACCCCAGCAGCCCAGACGAGCTCCGTCGCCTTTACCCTGCCAGTTGGGCCGAGGCTTACAAGGATGGCCTCCAGCCGTGCATGTGCCCCGTCAGCGAGCTCATGATAGACCGTGTGAGTGCGAGCCTGCCGTGCAGGGGCAGCCGCAGGAGTGTCAGGGGTGATCCCGTGTCCTTTTCTCGTCGCGGAACGTTTGGGAACCGAATTGCTGGGGCGATCAACGGCGCGATGTGCGGCAGTCGTGCCTTCGAGCCCCCGACGATCCAGATCTTCGATCGCCCGAGGTGCGCAGAAACTCAGATCGCCCCCTTCGGCTCCACGCGCGGCTACGACGCGCAACACCAGACGCATCAGTACCAGCCGCAGCACCAGCCGCAGGGCCAGCACCAGCCGCAGCCGCCTGGGCAGCTTGCGCTACCAGCACCTCCAGCCGCCGCAGGAGCGGGGCCCATGGGCCGAGTGACATCGGCGAGGAGAAGGAGGAGAGCGGGAGGGAGGGGGAGGGTCGGGGGATAATGAACCAAAGGAGGGTCAGGAATACGCAGATGACGGCGACGACGACGGCAACGACGACGTCGACGTCGCCGACGACGCAGGGAGAGGAGAAGGAGGAGGAGGAGGAGGAGGAGGAGGAGGGGGAGGAGAAGGGGACGGGGGAGGAGGAGGAGGAGGTGGAGGAGGAAGATGAGGAGGAGGAGGACGAGGAGGAGGAGGAGGACGGGATGAGGAGGGGGGCAGGAGGGGGAGGAGGGGGGGGGGAGGAGGGGGGGGGGAGGAGAGGAAGGAGGAGGAGGAGGAGGAGGAGGAGGAGGAGGAGGAGGAACCCATCCTCCCCCCCTTCTTGGCAGAGCCAGTCCTGAGGACTGCCAGGCACGGCGGCGGCGCCGCCGCCGTCGGCGGGCGCGGTGCGCCCGCGGACCGTCGACGACATCGAGGAACGCTGAACGAGTGCATCCCGCGCGGCCCAACATCGCCCCCACTGCAATCCTGCGCAGCAGGCTCGAAGCGGGGGCGACGCTGGACTCGCGCGGGTTGCCTGGTTCGGCGTTCCCTGCGCGGCGGCGCTGATGCAGAAGACGCTCGAGCAGGGCCGCGGGAAGCGCGCCCGCAAGGGCGACGACGGGGAGGGCGAGAAGGAGGAGGAGGAGGAGGAAGGAGAGGACGAGGAGGTGCGCGGCGACGCCGACGCTCGGCCTCTACCCTGCAAGCGCCCCGCGGCGGCGGCTGCCCGCAAGGACGCCGCCATTCCGCCCTCTGTCCTCCTTGTTGTTTCCTCCGCCACCTCCTCCTCCTCCTCCTCCTCCTTCTCCTCCTCCTCCTTCCTCATTCCTTTCTCTATTTTTTCCTCCCCTCCTCCTCCTCCTTCCTCGTCCTTCTCCATCTCCACCGCCTCCTCCTCCCTCGTCCTTCTCCTCCCCCCTTCCTCCCCTTCCTTCCTCGTCCTCCCCCTTCCCCTTCCCCCCCTTCCTCCTCCTTCCTCGCCCGTCTCCTTCTACCCGTCCTTCCTTCCGCCCTTCCTTCCTCCATTCATCCTCGTTCCTCTCCTCCTCGCCTTCCTCGCTCTCCTCCTCCTCCTCCTCCTCCCCCTCCTCCTCCTCCTCCTCCAGGGCGTGGCGGCGAGGCCCAGGAAGAGCGGCGTCGCCACGGCCGCCCCGACTTCCAAGCATGTCATCAAGGCCGCCCCGATATTTTTGGCTTACCCTGGCGTCCCCAAGGGGCCCGTGAAGCCCCTCCTCTACAACGGATACAAGATCTACACCGCCCACAACGCTGACAAATGGAGAGTTTTCAAGCAGGGGCAGGTCGTCGATGTGGCATGTTCGTGGAAAGTTGACCCCGCAGCCTCCTGGAGGAGGCTCGTTGCACATGTGAGCAAGAAGTAAGCAATCGTGAGCGGGTGCTTTTCGAGAGTAGATGTTTGCTTCGGTGCGTCCTGCGCGCCAGGGTTGTGCTAGCCATGCTACAGTATCGGGGAGCGCTGCGCAATGCCAGGCACGGGAATGAGGCATTGCCCACGGGACGCGCCAGTGAGTCAAAATTGCATCATCCTCATCCTGCAGAGGACTCACCCTGCATTTCTCATCACCATTGCACTTATCATCATCAGCATCAGCATCATCATCACCATCATCATCATCATTGTCAGCATCATCATACTCATCTACATTTTCACCATCATCTTCACCATCATCTTCACCATCATCATCATCATCATCATCATCATCATCATCATCACTTCTATGGATGGTGGGATGAGGAGGCGGAGGAGGAGACAGAGGAGAAGGAGCGGTGGGGAGAAAAAAGGGAGGAAAGACGATTAGGAGGGTGAGGAGGGGGACAACATCACTACCGTCATCTGAATTACCACATCGAGCTAACGTGCTGTAACTTCCCGTAACTGTTAGGAGCGGATAGCTAACGTTCAGTAACGCTTTGCAACGTATGTAATAAGTAGCACCTGAGAAGTACAGTGTTATGGCGTATGTTAGCAGTTTAGGCGTAGCCGCTTGTATATATGGATATAATAGAGCCACTGCAATGCATTGAAATGCAACCACATGCAATGCACTGGGAACTTATAGTGGGTTATTGTACAATTAGTTTGCTTATAACCCGAGATGGTGCTGTTATAACGCGCGTTGCCCTAGTTACTAAAGTAGGTTCTAACGCACACAACCCCGATCCGCACACAGTGCGCGCCCCCGTCGTTGCCAGCTCGCCGCCCCCTTCCCACGCAGCGCCCGATCCTCGCCACCCGGCCTTCGCCCCGGCGCCCTGGCCTTCGCCCCTCCTCGAAGAGCAACGACCGGCATGATCATGAATTTGGGTCTCCTGGATGGGGTCGGGGGATCGCGCCGCATCGCCGATGCATCGGCGATGCGGCTCGATGTGGAACCCGATTTTCCCTACGCCGACGTCGCCGATGCGGCGCCGACGTCGGCGATGCGTCGCCGCTGCGTCGCCGATACATCCGCGATGCGTTGGCGATGCGGCGCGATCCTCCGACCACATCTACTCGGACCGCATCTAGGGGGCCTCTGGAAGCCATCCCTGGCGCGCTCCGCGCCCCAGGGGCGGGGGTCCAGCGCAGATCCAAGAGACCCGCGCGGACTGTCAAAAACTCATGCTTCTGCAGTCAAAGACTCCACTGTACGACATCAAGCTCTCCCGATGTGTTCTGGGTGCGCCCGGCCTGGTTGGGCGTGCTTCCGGTCCAGGGGTCTCCCTCTTGGCACCCTGAGGCAAGGACGCATACGGACGGAGACACATCGCATGCGATCGTGCCGCTTCTTGCTCCTCCACCTCCGCCGGCGCCGCCCGCGCGCCGACTGCGTCTGGACAGGCGAGGCTCTGCGGCTTCGCTGGCGGGCTCCGCCACGGGCGGGGCCGGGGCCGCTCCGGCCCGCCGCCCGCGTGCGCGGGCGAGGGCGAGTCCGGCGGCGTGCGGAGGGGCGGAGAGCCGGCGGACTGGCGCGAGTTCCGGGCCCGGCTGGTGCTGCGGGAGCAGCAGGGGCAGCGACGGGGGGGGGGCCTGGAGGTCGGCGGTGCTCAGCCACGCGCAGAGGGGTGCAGGATGTACACCTGGTTCATGTCTGAGTCTGCGGAAATTTTTGGGGGCCAAGGTTCTTCTCATTCCTAAATGTTCTAACCTGGGCGTCTTCCTTGCCACAAGGGGGCCAGGAACATTTAGACACGAGCATAATTAAAAATGCGCACGATCAGAAACGAACGACGTGTAGGAGGAGGGGGGAGGGCTTCTTGGAAGCACCCCTGCTTCTTCGAAGGCGCGGGCCTCATCCGTAGATGTAGGGCCGGCGCCTTCTGAGAAGCAGCCTCCTTCCAAGAAGCCTTCCCCCTCATCCCCCTACGTGCAAGGCTCGAGGAGGCGCAGGCACGGAAGCAGGCTCGCGGATTCTGGCGGCGGGTCTCCCAGCGGCGCGTGGCGCCGCCAACTCGGGCGGCGAGGGCGCCATTCTTTGTCGGGGGCGGTGCATGCCCCGATGCGTGGATCTGGCGCTCCCGCGCCGGATCCGCGGATCCTTCGTCCGTGTTGGCGTGCGCTCGAGAAGATGGGGCCCTGAAGGATGGGGCTCGGAAGAGGGCAGGAAGGGGTCGCAGGTTGATTTCGCCTCTGTTTGAGGTGGCCCGCGTCCTCAGGGCCCTATCATTGAACTGCCGACCGTAGGGCAAGCATCGACCCCGAAACGCCGTATCGCCGATTCATCGCCAGTCGGGCCGCCAATCGAGGCTATGCGGAGCCCCAAGCCCCGCCCGCAAACGTTTGATTTTGTTGTCGGGGGCCCATCGGGGATCCCTTGGCGATGTGTTGCCGATTCCAGGCCAGTGTTGGCACCCCTGAGCCGGCTCTCCCCCGATTCGCTCCCCCTCAGAGCAGGCTTCTCCCAGCCCCGGCGAGGAGGTCCCGCCCGAGCGCCGCGGCGGAGCCGGCTGGGTGCACGAGGCTCGAGGTAGAAGCATCTGCCCAAACCTCCAGCGCCGATTCGGGTGATTTTGTGCGCGCCTCCGACAGGGGGGGGGGGTGTTCCCCACCCGACAGGGCATGGGTTCGGGCCTGTCCATCTACAGAGGGAATATCCACAAATTTTAAAACAATAGTCTGGTTACGATTTTTGACTATTTTGGGGTACTCCCAAAATCCCTCTGTAGGGGGACACGGCCGACCTAACTATAGATTTCATGGGCAAAGCTCCCGACCCACCTCGCACACCCTGCACACCGCGGCCGCCAGGCATCAGGAAAACTGGTGGTCCCTGCGGATGCCGCCTGGCGTCTTCGACGACTGGCGACTGTGTGCCGCGGCCGCCAGGCCCCAGGGATCCGGGTGATCCCTGGGGATCCTGCCTCGCGTTTTCGACGCAAGCTGGCAGAACGGGCACACGTACAGATCCTACACCTGATGATGATGTGCACACAACATACAGACAGAGCAGGCAAGGGCATCACGCATCAAGGACACGCACATACGCGGCATGCCTGTGTAGCACACACGCCGAAGTCATAGTCGCAACAAAGATACCAGGGGTCATTCCGACTCCGCCAGCCCGATCCGATCCGATTTCCCCGACCTCCGATTCGAACCGATTCGTTGTGGCGATTCCGCGCCGTGATTCCGATTTTGAGTTCGACGACCCCGCAGCTCGGAAAGCAATTTCTCTGGAATTGATTATATAAATATATATATATATATAGATATATATTATATATATATATACATCTATATATACATATATATATATATATATATATATATATATATATATATATTGTTCCGAGCCCCAGGGCTCGCCAGCCTCCTGTCAGCCACGCGCAGAGGGGGGTGGGGGGAGGGGGCAGGGCTGCTTGGAAGGAGGCTGGTTCTTAGAAGGCGCCGGCCTTACATTTTTTGTTCTGCGGCCCAAAGGACGGTTCCAGAGGGCGGGTCAATCAGGCTGTCTGGGGCACAGAGCCAGATAATTTGCGAAACCAGCCGTCGTTGTCGACAGCCGACCGCACCTGCAAGCATGCCGAACGGAATTCAAGAAGACGCACCTTGGCGTCGACAGGTGGGAACGGGCGCGGGAAGTGTGCGAGGGGTCGCCGAAACGGCGCCAGCCCAACACGACGGAGCAAGCAGGAGAAAAGCCAGCGGGCCAAAAGCCAACGCCGGAAAGCACAAGCGACCACGGGAGCAAGCCAGATAATTGCCAGCGGGCCAAAGCCAACGCCGGAATGCACATGCGAGGGACAAAATAAACTTCATTACGCCGCACGAAAACGGCACCCAGTGACCGCGGGGCGTCGCACAGTGGCACCAGCACCCGACAGACCGGGAAGAGAAGGGGCAAAGCGGACAACTGCCATTCTGGAACCCTCACTCACGGCGCCGGCCTTACACCTAGACAGAGAAGGCCCGCGGCCTCCAAGAAGCAGGGGTGCTTCCGAGAAGCCCTCCCCTCTCCCCCCACCCCTTCCCTGCGCGTGGCCGATCCTTCTCCGAGGTGTTGGCCTTCCCCTCGGGGCCCTTCGAGGCCCCTCGCCGCCCCCTCCGGGGCCCCTCGGGCCCCCGGGGCCCCCCGGGGGCCCCGGCCCCCGGGAGCTCCTCGGGGTCGGCAACTCGACGACGTGTGCGACGACGCGAACGACGACGTGGACGATGACTCCGACGACGACTCCGACGACGACGACGACGACGACGACGACGACGACATGGACGACGTCGACGGCGGCGACGACGGAGCAACGACAACGGTTAAGACAGCGTGCGACGACAACGTGCGACCAATAAAATTCGGACGAATCACCTCCGACGCTTACTTCCTTGCCTTCCGATCTCGATTCCAATCCGGCGTCGGGCGAGCCGGTTCCCGATTCGATCCAGTTCGGGTTTGCCGAGTCTTGCCGATTCGATGGCGCAGCCGATTGTTGCCGATTCTTGCAGATTCGATGTTCGCGCCTGCCGATCCGAGTCGACTTATCGAACCGATGCTGTGGCCGCCTGCATGCGCACCAGCCTTACGACGTACACACGGAAAACGTATACCGCGCACACAGTTTGCGCATATATTCCGTGCACATAATAAGTTTGGATAACATGCAGGCACATGTAACACACATTGCAGACATACCACTCGTGCACATTTCAGGCACGACAAACACACGTGCGAAACAACCACAGGAACTACGAATTCATACTCATACATGCGGAGCAAGGGAGACACGTAAACTGCAATGCGGTCGGGTACACTACATACATTTGCATACGCATTCCACGATGAATCGAACTCCACAATGGCCACGACGTCACGCTGGCCCGACGATACATACAGAACATACGCACAGCACGTACAACAACATACATAAGCAGCATGCCGAACTCTCACATTCTATAGATACGTAACGCCACGTAGAGGCGAGGCGAACACGCATACACACACATTCAGAGGAACCATGATCTCATTAAAACCGTTATGAAGTACATTGGAACACATCTCTGGCGAATGTCTAGACTCGAAATGCGTGGGGACGTCAGGTTGACCAAAGAAAACGTACGCAACAGCGATCAGTTAGACGACGTGTCAGACATTGCACGCGTCACGACGTCACGCGTGCCCGACGCGAACCGGGCGCAGCAACCGCCGCCTTAAAAACGACAGACGCCGCGGCTGACAAAGTCAGGACGCATTCTCGATTGTATGATAAGACCCTTTGAGAAGAGCATTCCACAATTAAACAAGCCTTGCTATACCATAACTTTGGATTGAGTAGACAACCTCAAAACAGCGCATCTAACGACTAAGCAGGCATGGCAGGAGTCACACCGTCATGTTGGCACCAGAAACGCAAACCCTGGAACGACCGAATTATAAGTAACAGACGCGCCTGCAGGGAATCTCAATAAACCTGACACTTGCATTACAACTTGAAAGTATACACGTTAAACAAAGACCATCTTATTTGTCATGCACGATGGAAGACCACGCGATACTACGAATGGACACACGTACTCCACGTCGGCTCAGACACGGCGGGCTTGACGACGTGCACGCTGGCCCCACAAGGACAAAGTGCAGCATTACCACTCACGAAACGACACGTAGCCTCATAAGACAAAGTAGTGCAGGCTTTCCACGACTCAGCAGACATGACAGGCTTCCCGACGTCACGCCCCAGCCGAGAAAAAAACAACCGTAACACAATTGTTCACAATATCATGCACCACGAATATACACCAATGGCATGCACTAAGAACATGTATTCTCATACCATGAAGTTCCTTGATGGCGCTCTTTTCAAAGCAAGGTAATGCCTGTGCAGCTGTTTCGTCTTCTGGAGGCGTCCCTGATCGAGCAGGGCTCCCTCCTGCTCGCCTCCGCGGGCGCCGCGTTCGAGCTGGACCAGCAGTACTTCCACAAAGCGGTCGTGCTGCTCGTCCAGCACGGAGACGACGGGGACGTGGGCTTGGTGCTCAACCGGCCCACGGCTTTCACAGCCGACTCCCTTGGGCTCACCTGCGGTGCCGGCGCACCGGGCTGGAACGTCTGGTTCGGGGGCCCCTCTCAGGGCGCTGGGTGCGAGGCGAGGCACCAGCGGCTCTTCTGCCTCCACACCCTCGACGCCCTCGCGGATCTCAGCTGCAGCGTCATCCCAGGCGTGTTCCTGATCGACGTGGGTCGGGCTACGCAGCTCGTCGCCGACGGGGAGGCAGAGGCGGACGAGTTCATGCTGCTCTGGGGCTGCTGCGTCTGGGGCCCCGGGCAGCTGCAGCGTGAGCTGGCCCTGGGAGGAGGAAAACGTACCAATACCCTTGACATCGTTCGGACGTGTGCATTTGTTTTTTTCCTGCGGGGACCATCGAGGAACATCTCGGATCATTTTGCGGAAAAAACACGCACGAAACCGAAACATGCACCGGGAATGGACATCCGAGCGATGGCGAGTACCCAGACGCTCCCGAGCGCTTCCACACGCTCCGTTCCCAGGCGCTCCCAGAAGGCCCCCCAGGCGCTCCCAGAACGCTCCCGAGGAGCTCAGAAGCGCCACCAAGCTTCCCCAGGCGGCCCCAGGCGCTTCCAGGCGCTCCCAGGCGCTCCCCAAACGCCCCCAAGCCCCCAAGCGCTCGCCGCCCTTGCCTCGCTTTCGCCTTCCTGGGCCTCATGGGAGGTCCTCGTCGCCACGGCTGGCTTCGCCTCGAAAGCCTGGTCGGAACCCGCCCTGGGAGAGTTCTTGGGAAGGCGGTGTTGGTGCGCTCTGGTGTACCCAGGACCAGGGGGACTCGTGGACCCTGGCCGCGGCGGAGCAGTCCGCGTTCCTGGGCCAGCTGCGGGACGTGCAGGCCTCCCTCAGGGCCATGCTGGACGAGCGGCCCTTCTCCTTCGTGGACGAGGTGCTGCGCTCTGCCGCGGCCGAGGCCCCGGCGGTGAGCCTCGAGGACCTGGGCAACGGCGTGCGGGAGTGGCAGAGGCTCTACGCCGCCCTGGGCACGCAGTTCGAGATCCTGAGCGAGAGCGAGGGGGGCGGCGCCCCCAGCCACGGGGACGAGATGCTGAACGCGTGGACGCGGCGCTGCCTCCTGCAGGGCCCCGCCGCGGGCGCGGAGCCGGCGCGGGCCCGGGCCGCGCTGGCGGGCAGGCAGAGGCGCACGGGGGCCCTCCTCCGCGGCTCCTGCACCGCGTGGCTGCTGGGCGGCCCGCTGAGCGAGGCGGGCCGGCCGCTGCGCCGCCCGCTCGGCTTCTCCCCGGCCACGTACATGCACAAGGCAGGCCAGCCACGGCTCCCTGGGGGAGCGGTGGTCCTGGCCCCCCTGGGGGGCCCGTCGGCTTCGGCACCCCGCTCGAGAGATCGTCGATGCGATGGGCGCCCCCCAAGGGGGGGTCGGGAGCACGGCTCCCCCCGCTGTGGCTGGTCGGCGAGGCCGTGCTGATGTTGCTGCGCGAGGCGCGGGAGGGGCAGCAGGCCGTGCTGGCGCTGCTGAACGGCCCCCGCGTGAGCGCGGACGCGTTCTTCGGGGGGACCAGCAAGGTCGGCGGCAGCGACGTGCTGCGCGTGGAGCAGGGCGAGACGTCGTTCCCCCTGCTCAGGCCCGCAGCCGCACGCGGACCCTGCCACTGCGTGTCCACGGCGCTGGGGCATTCGGCCGCCCGATCGCGCTCCCCTCGCGGACCCACGCGCGGGTGACCCCTATGGTATACCGTGCCGTGTGGAGCAGGCATCGGGGGTCGCTGTCCAGGGCCTGCCCGGGGTCCCTGCACGGTCGGCGCGTCCTGCACTTGTCACCCCATCTTCCGTGCGACGCGGCAACCCACCCTGGGGATCGGTCTCAGGGGCCCTCGGCGGGCGGTGGATGTGGATATGGATACGATATGGATATACATTCGGGTCCAGGGCGGGGGCCAACTGTGTCCATATCCGCCGCCTGCCCAGGTCCCCGCACAGCGATCCCGCAGGCGGTGGTCATGGACCCAGACATGCGATGTCCAGGCTTTTTGTGTACGCGGTCCTCAGAGAAGTCTCGACCCATTCCCCAGGGCCGGCTTTTCATCCTGGGTCGTTTGTGGACGGTCCCGGGGCCCGGCGAGGGGGCCTCCAGAGGCCGAAAAAGGCTGGCGGCGCGCAAAGGAGGGTAGGGGGAGGCGGGGAAACCTTCTCAGAGGGAGGCTGCTTCTTAGAAGGCGCCGGCCTCACACCTGTAGACAAGGCCCGCGCCTTGTAAGAAGCAGCCTCCCTCTGAGAAGCTTCCCCGCCTCCCCCTACATCCCCGCTGTGCGCGCCGCCCAAAAGGCCTAAAAACCTTCCGTCGTTTTTTTACGATCGGGAGGGGGAGGGGGAGTGGGAGGGCGGGAGGGGGAGGAGGAGGAGGAGGAGGCGGAGGAGGAGGAGGCGGAGGAGGAGGAGGAGGATGAGGACCAGTTCAAACCCAAGAGTCACCAATGATGTTGGAATACACCCTCCCCCCAAGCTCCCTCTTCATAGGCCCCTACAGCGGTTCATTTCCACAGAGGGATTGCCTCTCTGGAAGGCAACCGTTTGGCGACCCTGAAGCATGCCAAAACATTGTTCTCGGGATTCCAACGCCACGGATCGATCTCCTTGTTGCGTCTTCAACACCGCGAACCACCATAACTATTCCGCCCTCACAATCGCGAATCGTTCCTAAACACAATTCCTGGTACGTCGATCATGGGAAGCCGTGAAACTCTTGCAATTTGTTTGAAAGGATGTGCGCGGCGCTAAGGCGAGAGCCAACTTTTGGAAAGGAACCGCCCTCCATTCGTGAAGCTCTGGCAATTTGTTCAAACGAATATGCGCGTCGCTAAGGCGAGAGCCACATTTTGAAAACCACCCGCCCTCAATCCGTGAAACTCTTGCAAATTTTGACAACGAATGAGGCGAGAGCCACATTTTGAAACCATCCGCGCTCAATCCGTGAAGCTCTTGCAAATGTTGACAACGAATGCGCGCGGCGCTAAGGCGAGAGCCACATTCTGAAAACGACCGCCCTCCATCTGCAAAACTGTTGCCAATGTTTGAGCTTCATGGTCAGAAATGGTGAGGAAGTCTCAGGCGAAGCGCCCGGCCCGCCCTAACAACTGGCCTCGGGGTGCGACAGGGAGAGGTTATTCATAAGGAGAAGGAATTGAGGAGGAGGAGGAGGATGAAGAAGACAAGGAAGAGGAAGATGAAGACGATGACAAAAAGGCATGTCTGGGGACAGTTCCTCGCCTCGGCGAAGCGGGGCCCGTGCGCGGGCTGCCCGCGTCACAGGGGCGTGGTCGTCCTCGCCCCGGGGGTTCTGGAGGAGCTGCTCGCGGCGGGCGCCCTCGAGCCCTCGGACGCCAGCGTGCAGGAGGCGCGGCGCGGCGCGCAGGGACGACGACGACTGCGAAGACGACGACGACGACGGCGACGACGTACGACGACGACGACGGCAACGACGAGGACGAGGACGAGGACGAGAACGGCGACAACGACGACGAGGACGACGGCGGCGACGGCGACGTACGACGACGACGTACGACGACGACGAAGAGTGGGGTGGCGCCGTTTGCTTGTTGGTCGCCCTGCGCTCTGTGACGGTCCCCGGAGACCGGCGGAGGGCCCCGAGGCCCCGAAATTGGGAAAAAAAAACACGCAGACATCCGACGTCTCGATTGTTTTGAAGACACGGGCCCCCGACCTCCCGACCGCTTCCGCAGGTTCGGCGTTTTCGTCCCGAGTCGTTTCTTGACGGTTCCGAGGCCCGGCGAGGGCACCGGGAGGCCGAAATCGACGAGGAACCTCCGTGTCGATTGTTTCGAGGCGCCTAATGTATGGGTCTTCCTCACCTGATCCGCTGGATGATGATGATGATGATGATGATGATGACGATGATGATGATGAACATGATGATGGTGATGGTGATGGTGGTGATGGTGATGATGGTGATGGTAATGGTGATGGTAATGGTGATAGTGATGGTGATGATGGTGATGCTGATGTTGATGCTGATGCTGCTGCTGGTGGTGATGACGACGGTACGATGGTGATGCTGATGATGATAATAGGATGAGTATGATGACTATGATGATACGGTGATGGTCTGATGAGTATGATCATATCTATGATGATAGCATGACGATGACACGGTGATGAGGATGCTGATGGTGGTGTTGATGATGCTAGTTTGATGATGATGGTGGACATATGATGATGGTGGTGATGCCGATACGGACGATTGAATCATGCGATGATGGCGAGATGACGACGACGATATGATGATGGTAGTTTGATGATATTGGTGCTGATGGTATGATGATGGTGGTGATGTGACGATGATGTTTGTATGCTGATGGTGAAGATATGATGACGCTGTTGTTGATGCTGATTATGTGGATGAGTAGGGTGATGGTGCGTCGTGATGAGGATGAGGTTGATGGCTACGATAATGATTGTGTGATGATGTGGATATGATGGTGATGATGGTGATGATGATGATGGTATGGTGATAAGGAGGAGGATGAGGGTGAGCAGGATCATTGGGACGATGAGGATGATGAGGGTGATGATGATGATGAATATGATGATGATGATGATGATGATGATGATGATGATGATGATGATGAGGAGGAGGAGGAGGAGGAGGAGGAGGAGGAGGAGGAGGAGCCCTCCCATGACCAGTCTTCAAAGCGCTCCCTTTAACAAGCAGCACGCTATGGCGCTGGCTTTCCAGCGAAATCCCCGTTTTGAAAAGAAGCTGCTTTGCAACGTTCTCGCGAACAGTGAGTAAGGAATGCGACACATTGAGACCATACGGCTCAACGAGGTGCCCAGCGGGATCACCATTTTGAAACGGGGCCGCCCAGATATGTTTAATTATTGCACAGCTTGCATTTCCGGCCATGGGCTTCGAGAAAGCTTCTAGCGATATTGGCAGTTTGAAGAGGGAACGCCCTCAACCCGTGCAGCCGTCACAGATTATCAACCATTTGGTCTGTCGATTGTCAACCGTGCGGAGGTCTCAAGCGAGAACCCATTTTAAGATGGAATTGTTCCCGTTCGATCCCGTGCCAATTTCGCATCAAGGTATGTCGAATTTGTGTGGCGCCAAGGCGAGGGTCCCACTTCGAAGAAGCTGCTGCCCTCCATTATCGTAACGACGGCAAGTATTGGGATGAGTGCGCGCGGCGCTAAGGCGAGAGCACCATACTGACAAGTAGCCGCGCTCCATCTTTGTAAACGTTGCAAGTTTGCTTTTCGAATGTGCGCGGTGCTGAGGCGAGAGCCTTTCTTGGGAACGCAACGTGTGGTCAGCTTTTATAATGGGTGCAAGTTTTTAGGGCGGGTGTGCGCGGCGCGAAGGCGAGACCATTCATTTGGAAAGGTCCAGTACCCATCCGCGTAATTGTTGACAGTTTCGGAACGATGGTGATCGGTGCTTAGGCGAGAGCCACGTTTTGAACACCACCAGTGCTCCATCTTGGGGAAAGTTACAAGCATTAATGACGAATGCACACGGCGCTGAGGAGAGGACGACGTGATGAACACCACCCTCTTTCCATCCGCGCAGCTACTGCAATCTTGGGGCTGTCGGACCATGAGTCATGAGGAAGTCCCAGGCGAAACGCTTGGCCTGCCTTAACAACACGTTTGCGGGTGCGACAGGAAGGAGCTGTCTATGATGGGCAGGGGTGGAGGAGGAGGAGGAGGAAGAAGATGGAGGAGGAGGAGAAGGAGGAGAAGGAGGAGGGGGAAGGAGACCAGACAGAGGGAGGACAACGATGATGATGATGAGGAAGAGGAGGAGGCGGAGGAGGATGAGGAGGAGGAGAGGAAGAACATGATGATGAGGAGGATGAGGAGAAGGAGGGCCAGGAGGAGGAGAAGGGCCAGGAGGAGGAGGAGGAGGACCACTGTACACCCGAGAGTCATCAAGGATGTTGGACAAACCATCCGTTTAAATATCTTGAATAGTACCAAAACGCTGTTCTCGGGATTTCAGCGCCACGTACCAACCTGACTTCTGCGTCATGACGATCCTGAATTGCGCCAGAACGCCGTTCCTGGGACTTCAACGCAGCGAATCATGGTAACTGTTGCGCCCTCATAATCGCGAATCCTTCCTAAACGCAATTTCTGGTACGCTGATCATGGGCATCCGTGCAAATATTTAAGTTTTTGTTTTTAATATATATATATATATATATATGTATAAACGAGTGTGCGCGGCGCTCAGGCGAGAGCCACATTTTGAAAAGGAGCCGCCCTCGATCCGTGAAACTCTTGCAATTGTTATAACGAATGTGCGCGGCGCTAAGGCGAGAGCCACATTTCGAAAACCACCCGCCCTCAATCCTGAAGTTCTGGCAAATGTTATAACGAATGTGCGCGGCGCTCAGGCGAGAGCCACATATTGAAAACGACCCGACCTCAATCCGTGAAACCTTTGCAAATGTTATAACGAATGTGCGCGGCGCTCAGGCGAGAGCCACAATTCGAAAACGACCCGCCCCCAATCCGAGAAATCGAATGTGCGCGCCGCTAACGCGAGAGCCACATTTTGGAAACCACCCGCCCTCAATCCGTGAAGGTCTGGCAAATTTTAAAAACGAATGTGCGCGGCGCTCAGGCGAGAGCCACATTTCGAAAACCACCCGCCCTCAATCCGTGAATCTCTTGCGAATTTCGAAAACGAATGTGCGCGGCGCTAAGGCGAGAGCCACATTTTGAAAACGACCCACCCTCCATCTGTGAAATTGTTACCATTTTTCAAGCTTCAGAGTCATGAGTTGTGAGGAAGTCTCAGGCGAAGCGCCTGGCCCGCCGGCCGCGCCTGGCCCTTGGCAAGAGGTGTTGGACGCCGACATCGAGGCGAGGTGGGCCGTCGCCGGGGGCACGGTCGGCTCCCTCGCGGAGGCCCGCCTCGCCGCGGCGGGGGACGTGCAGCTCCGCGCGTGGTGCCCGGGGGCGGCCCTCTCTCTGCGGGGCTCTCCGCGCCAGGCTCTCCTCGCATCCTCGCCTCCGTCGCCCTCCCTCCCCCGTCACTCTCGCCTCTCTCCCTTCCCCTCTGCTTCCCTCCTCCGGCTCCCCCATCTCCCCTCCCTCCTCGCTATCGTCCGCCTCGTCCGCTTCCTCCAGTTCCTTCCTCCGCCTCGTCATCGTCGTCCTCACCCGTTTTGTCCCTCCACCTGCCCCCTCCTCCAGGTGATTTTATTCTCATCAGCATTCCGACCGGCCATGCCAGCAGCCATCCGAGTGAGCGGCTCGTGCTCGCGATCGGTCATGCCAGCAGCCATCCGGTTGGCTGGCGTTCGTGCTCCCGACAATCCCAACAAGCCTGGTGGGTGCATGCATGGACGACTCTTCGTGTACCTGCAGCAATCGGATAGAATCCCCCCTCACGTCTGGTCCCTACTCATCCCTCTCTCCCTCTCCCTCTTCTTGCCTCCTCTCTGACTTCCTCATCCATCCTCTTCCCTCCCTTCTGGTCTATCGTCCTCCTCCTCCTCCTCCTCCTCCTCCTCCTCCTCCTCCCTCCTCCGCTGGCCCCCTCTCCTACCGCGTTCCGCTGCGTGGCGTCACGGGGGGGGGGGCCGTCCGACGGAGGGAGGATCTCGTGCGCGGAACTGGGATGGGGCGTGGAGCGGTGACACGAGAGCAGGGAACGCTATATCGGAGGTGTCCCCTTCACGCGCCCAGTGTTCGCGGTCACGGTCTCGGTGTACGCCACCAGCGTGTGCCAAAGTTCGCGGCGCGTGCTGGCACGCACGCGCGGAGAGGCACAGCCGCATGCGCACGTAGAGAGAATCATGATGCTGTGCTGTGGCCTCACGCGACGACGCCGCGAGGCACATCCTTTTCCTTTCGCGCGCGGCATTGCCAGTGCCACATGTTCCGACTTGGCCACGCAGCCACGATCCGTGCACGCCAACAGTGTGTGACGTGATGCCGCACACACACACACACAAACACACACACACAAACACACACACACACACACACTTCGAGGCGCGTGCAGGCACGCACGCACGGGCGGAGAGGCACATCGGCACGCGCATGCACAGAGAACCGTGATGCTGCGCTGTGGCCTCATGTGATCACGCCGCGACGACACCCGACGGACATGCTGTGCCTCATCTCCGAACTCCCAGGCGGAGGATAAGGAGGGAGGGGGAGGAGGGTGGAGGAGGACGAGCAGGACGAGGAGTGGCGGGACAAGGGGGATAAGAAATGACGAAGGGGGGTGAGGAGGAGGAGGAGGAGGAGGAGGAGGAGGAGGAGGAGGAGGAGGAGGAGGAGGAGTAGGACGAGGAGGAGGAGGAATACAGAAGGAGGAGGAGGAGGAGGAGGAAGAGGATGGGCGCCGACTATATGCCGTCCGTCCGTGCAACCGATCGACATGAGGCTAACGAGGATTCAAGAAACGCTGGCATGCGCCGACTGGGTGCACCAACAGGGTCCGGCCACGCGGCCGAGACATATCGCGGCACAGGATCATCCAGGAGGAGAAGGAGGAGGGAGTGGCGGAGGAGTATGCAGAAGGAAACGCAGAAGGAGGAGGAGGCAGGAGTGGTGGAGGAGTGGGGCAGTAGGGGGGGAGGTGGAACGCAGAAGGAGACGGAGGAGGAGGAGGAGGAGGAGGAGGTTGAGGAGGAGGAGGAGGGGATGAGCCTGGTGGTGGAGACGGAGCCTCGCCGCCCACACGCGGCCGCGGCCGCCCCCCCTCCGCCCCCCGAGGTACGGCAGGTTCTTGCAGAGCAGCCTCGGCGAGGACGGCCAACAGCGCGCCGACACCACGCTGCTGGCCCTCGGCCAGGGCCTGCCGATGCAGGCGTGCGGCGCGATGGCGACAACGGCGTCGCATGGTCGTCGCCGTCGTGGTCGCCGTCGTCGCCGCCTGCGTCGTCGGTGGCGGCGGCGGCGGCGTTGCCGCCGTCGGCGTCGTCGCCAGTGGTGGCGGCGGCGTCGGCGCCGTCACCGTCGTCGCCGTCGCCGGCACGATGGTGACGATGGCGGCTACCACGGCATCGTGGCCGTACGCGCCGTCGCCGCCGTCCTCGCCCGTCGTTTCTCCCTGGTCTCCTCCTCGCCTCGGATCCTCGCCACCTCCTCGCCTCCTCGCCTCCTCCTCGCCTCCTCGCCTCCTCCTGCCCTGGCCTCCTCGCCGCCTCGCCTCGTCGTCGCCGCCGTCGCCTCGTTCCCCTGCGCTGGCGCCGTGGGCGTTTCTGGGCCGAGCCCCCGCGCCCTCGTGAGCACCCCGTCCACCCCGGCCACTGCTCGCGGGAGCAGAACACAACTCGACCCCCACAATCGGCGTTTACTGAACAGCACTTGGGCGT